GACTCATAATAAAAGGATGGGGTTTCATATTATCAACACAGCTTTTGCAAGTAAATGCCATGATCTCTTGATCAGATGGAATCGAATTTCACACCTTTGGTAAACCTGGCCACTCTTGAGTCACCTGAAAACACGATGAAACATAAACATAGAAATAAGGTATAAAGATAATTAAAGCAAAACTAGATAGAAAGAAGAGAACAAATCTAAAGAGCAACCAAGGTCACCAAGAAAATATATGACCCAACACATATCTCAATCCAAGGACATAAAGTGTGTCAAAAAAGCAAAAGCAAAAGCAAAACCAACTCAAATATTTTGCCCTTCAGCTTGCTCTGTTTTAGCCTTTTAGATTGACCATTTATTTGCTTAATAATCTAATTCAATAGAAATGTACTTCACTTAAGTTGTTCATATTGGGTCAAATGTCTGAAGACTCTGCATATAAACTGGAAGCACGGCAATTCTCATATCAGGTCGATTACATGCAGCATCAACTCATCAGCCACAAAAAAAAAATCAGATCCAGGGTCATTTTTTTACTTGTCATCTCGTGGAACATCACATGTTATTATTATCCCAACAAGCTGACTTATGGTCAGGTCAGGTCAATAAGCACTTTAAAAACCTAGGTACAGCTCCCCTGCCACCAGTCCAGTATAAATTTCTAAAGAAACACTTTGGTACATGCAAATATGCACCATTTGGTAGAAAACCAAAACCCATGTGAAAGAAAACTTGTTTTATTCAAATGGAATTTGCTAAATTTAAATGGCTGAGCTAAGGAACGATAACTTGGAAGCATATTTTCAGAACGGCAGTGATAGGTAGCTCGAAACCGAGCGGCTTGAAATGGCTTGATTCAAAAACGGCTCGTTTTTGAGATGAAGGTGAAGCAGAACCAGAAGCAGGGGAGGGAGGAGGAGGGGAGGAGGAGGAGGGACTGGAGGGGGCCCGACATTTGGGGCTGGAAGCGGGGGCCGGGGCCGGAGGCGAGGCAGAGCCGGCGATCGCTGGTGCTGCGACGATCGGTGGCAGCGAGGCGACGACGGTGGCGGTGGCGGTGGCGAGGCGAGCAGCGGACGGATTTCCTCTCTTCTTCCTCTCTTCTCTCCCTCTTTCTCCTCTGCTTCTTCCTCCTCTCTTCTCTCCCTCTTTTGAGCCAATTCGAGCCATTGGATTCGAGCTACGGCTCATATCCGTTTTCAGAAACATGGATTGAAATAGGATGGAACAAAAATGATGCATAGGATTCAAATACTTCGCTCCACTTGTGAATTTGTTGATGACCTTATGCACATCTTTGAACATCTCTGAAAATATTTATAAGCCAAAGTTTATCTGGTTATTATGCATAGGTGGAGCAATTAGAGCATGATACGAGCATATATTGATTAAGATTTATAGGCAGATCAGATTTGAAGCAGACTACTCTTACTGTTATCCATAAGTACACAATAATTTAACAAATTTTATGCTTTAGGAATTCTCTTGACAAAAATCTTATCGTGCATGAAAATTTACTAGTTAGTAAAATATGCATTTCAAAATCCAGAGTACATGTGTCTTTTCCTATAATAAATTCCTTGATTTTTGAAGGGAAAAAAATTATGATCCTGCAAATATTTATTGAGGTTATATGTAGATTATATCTCCTTATTAAAAGTATGTGCATCAGATACTTGTCAACACAGCAACAGTGTCATATGAACACTTACAAAGGAGTGCATCTTTATGTTGAGGAACTTATTATGCAATTAGTAGTTTCATCTTTGCTGGCTCTCTATGGTTCTTAGCCATGCACAGGTGTCTAAATTTGGGAACATAACACTCATGTTTCACCCAAACATCATGGTTGTGGTCACGAATGAAAGAAAACCAATAAATATTGTCTATATCATGGAAAAAGCTGAAAGCCATCAAGGCTTTGTTAAACTGAGTTGATTATTTATTTATTTTTGATGAGTACTGCCGCTACATATTAGAAGTCACAAACTCTGAAACCAGGAATTTGCTATTTGCTTATTTTTTGTACCTAAAAAAAAGAGAGAAAAGAATAGAATATGTGAATATGGAAGTGGTAAAACATGTGCCCAAATGCTTCAAAAGGTAGCTGACCTAAACTATCAGAAAGAGATTTCCCATATTGCGAGACAGAGAGAGAGAGAGAGAGAACACAAAACTTTACCTACTTGAGCTGTGCAACATTAAGACATGGATTATCAAAAGCCAACCAAAATGACCCAACAAAACAACAATGTAAGACTCCTAAATATACCAAAAACTAATCAAATTGAGTGGACAACCCAGTAATACTTAAAGACAGTTCACTGCGGCACTCTATTTAGTCAATAATCAGTAGTATTGACACTTACTTTAGACTTTTTAAGTTTTATGCCAGTTGTCAGTATAACAGCTAGCAGTGAAAGTCAGAAAGAGGAAAATGAACCTTAGAATGTCATAGGAAAAATAATTTTTCAAATTACATAGAAAATAATCATTTTACCTATATCCAATTTCACCCACAATCACAACCCAGAAATTCAAAGTTATATTGGATAAAAGAAGAGGTATTATACATCACTATTGTCAATAATGTGTTGGCAATTTGGGCAAGGTCTGGATGGGTTGCTCTTCCAGTTGACTCTTGCAGGATCACCGAGGCCAGATGCACTCCTGATTTTTGTTGCAATTCTGTTACTGTCAACTAACCATGATTGCCTGCAAAGTTTACACAAAATAATTACAGTCACAATCATAAATTTTTTCTTTATAATATAAATGACAAAAGTAAACATTTATTATTGTTAAAATGTACCAAAACCTACCACTACACCTACTCCACCCACTTCACCTACTCCACCTACTACATACCTACCTCCTTTAATCTTCTATATATAGGACTCATTGTAAACACAACAAATATCAATCAATAATACAATTCTCTCTATTTCTCTATACATCAAATTTAACATGGTATCAGAGCAGGTTTAGAACCTAATATTTTCACTTCCCCGGCGGGCGGCAACCTCACCTTAGCTGCCCGCCGGACCTCAACCTAGTCTGCTAAAATTTTCTACACATACCTTCCACAGCCGTACCTCTGCAAGAAGAGAAGCTTCGCTCCATCATTTCCTTCCACGAATCTTCTTCGTGGCTTTCGCACTCTCTCTCACTCCCTCACTGTTCGCTGCCAACACCACTCCATCAAGGTTCGCCGCCGACACCACTCCCTCACTGTTGACTACCGACTGGCAGAGCTCGTGCGCCATTTTTAGCGAGCAAGGTGGTGTCGCAGCAGCAAGACACCACCGTGAAAAGCGGCACGCCGACAACATCACCGTTGTTAACGGCCACCAAACCCTAGATCTCGTCACCAATCGAGAACTCCCTCGGTGGTAGCATCCACCGGAACTCCGATCTCCTCCTCCGCCACCGACTCCACATCGTCGGCGAAGTCCAGTTCCCCGTCCACCACTGCCTTCTGGCCCTCCCGGGCGTCCGAAAAGAGTACCTCACTCGCGTCATTAGCCATCCTCAGGCCTTGGCTCAGTGCGTCATTATATATATTTATGTTCTGAATCTTTAATTCATCTGCGGATCAAGACACACGCACCAACCCCATTCAGCTTTTTTTTTTTTTATCACTCAACAACAACTGCATCTTCACAAATGCTTTCCAGAGGAGGAATACACAGGACAACTCCTTTTTCTTCCACCACACGATCCCCTTTCTTTTCTTTTCTTTATTTTCCACTTTCAAACCCTTTATTTTTTTATTCTCTTTGAATTCAGTAATGAATTCTAAGCCGATCTACTTTTTCTTTTCTTTATTTATTTTTTACTTTTTCTCGTCTTTATCCCATATCCTCATGTTCCTCACCCTCTATTTTTTTATTCTCTTTGATCACCCCCATGTCTGACCAAACACCACTCTTCTTTTATTTCACACTTTTCTTTTATTTTAAGATATATATATATATATATTTTTTTATTATAATATATTTCTCCTATCCCTACTTTTATTTTATTTTATTTTTTCTATCTTTCTTTTTCCATCAATATTTCATTATTATACCACTCGTTAGTGAGCATCACCATTTTTCCATTATCTTATTATTATTTTTTATATTCCACAAAAAACAAAAAATCACATTGATGTTTTTCAGATGACCCATCCACAAATATTTTTATCTATTTTCTTTATCCATTGTTTTATTTTCTTTTATTTTTTCTTAAACAAAATAACAACACAAAATAACACCACCAACATTCCACAAACTTGTCATTTCTTCATGCCGGGGATCAACCCCGATCACAATTTTACACTAAAAAAAAAAAAAAAACTAAAACAACCAAATCCACCGGCGGGATTTTTTCTTCTTATTTTTTTGATTATCGATCATATAACTATTAATATCTGATTATTATGATTTTTGGTAGGTACAAAATACTCCAAAAATCTTATAAAATAACAGTTCAAATCCTAAAAATAAATTTATAATATACATCAAATTAAAATACAACAATTACCACATGTGCTAAAGGCACAACAACACCCTTAATCCATGCTCTAACCTACATTTTAAAATTTTAAAATAAGCCAATGAAAAAGGAGACGTTGAACTTCATATGTTAACATAGTATAAAAAAATGAAAAAATGTCTCGTAATTCAAATTTTGTAGTTTAAAAGTAGTTTAAATAGTTAAAACGACGTCATTTTGGCCATTTTTATGTTGTTCTGTACTCAAAACGATATCGTTTTGACCATTTAAGTCACTTTTAAATCACAAAATTTGAATTACGTAACATTGTCAAAAAAAATATATGTATACTATTAATGGTAGATTGAACTTCTGGTACTTCGGACTTTTAATTTATTCAAAAAATATATACACTCATTCAGATAATTCTATTTTCTCACCACTCCTTTTCTTTGTACCCACCATTTTTATTTATTTTTTATTAAATAAGATTACATTTTTGGACAAAATCTAATCCCTAATTTCTTATTGCACACAGCCCCACCACCATCCACTGCAATTATAGCCACCGCCGCACCTCCAGCGCCACATTTCCCCTCACGGCGCCCTTTACGCCTCCCTACCTCCCCCTTTATTCTTCTTTCCAGTTCTTGAAACCTTAGACCGATTGATCGATCTCTCGCGCCTGCAACTATGGATCTCGATTTCTCTTTATTGCTGCTAGTTGGAGGTCGCGTTGGACTCTGTAAACTGTCCCGACATTTGATTCCGGTTAGCTTTTCCAAGGGTCCGACAAGACTCTGTAAAATGTCCCGACATTGATTCCGGTTGGTTTCTACAAGGGTCCAGCAAGACTCCGTAAACTGTCACAACAACTGTCACAACATTGTCTGCTACAACGGTCCGACATGACCCCATAAACTGTCTTCTACATCGGTCTGCCATAACCATACAGTCTTCTACAACGGTCTGACACGACCATACAGTGTCTCCTATCCATTTTTTATTTTTCAGATTATTTTCTTGTTTTGTTAGTCTCTCCAAACTCAAGTTGGTTAGTTCCTATCCCCCTTGAGTTTGCGGGGGGCTGTTAAAATGTACCAAAACCTACCACTACACCTACTCCACCCACTTCACCTACTCCACCTACTACTCCACCTACTACATACCTACCTCTTTTAATCTTCTATATATAGGACTCATTGTAAACACAACAAATATCAATCAATAATACAATTCTCTCTATTTCTCTATACATCAAATTTAACAATTATCTGCAAAACAGTTTCAAGATTGGATTCTTCAATACGACTTGCAAATACAAGGAGGTAGGAGCATAGAGATACAATGGCTAAAAACCAACTGCATTAACAAAAGCATAACAATGAAAAGTTGAGGCCTTAATCGTAAATCATAATATGATTCTTCGCATTATTTTATTTGTTATTAAGTTTGATTCAAGGTCCAGTCTTTCTCTGAAAAATTACACTAGATCATAACAACAAGAATATGAAGATTCTAATGTTCTCAATAAAATATAAGCTTTCATGTATAGAAGTAGAGAAGTGTTAGTTTATCAAATGTATACATCAGATTCTACAATCAAAACCAACACTTACTATCGAGTTGGCATTTTAGGTATTAAAGAAAATGGAATAATATGTAGTCACTAACAATATTTGTTAACCATATATCATAGTCTCATAGACATATGCCAAGCAAAAAACAAAATGAAATCCTAGTTAAACCTTGACTTAGAAAGTGATCTAAAGATCAGTTAGGCAAGCATCTGAAGGCCTTGAAAGGTCAAACTATTGTAAGCCAACACAAGTATTTGATTTATTTTGAAGAGTCCATAGAACATAGATCAACACCAGCAATGGAATGCACTATTGTAAGCCAAACCCTTGTGGCAGAATGGTTAAGTGCTGGCATGACATCTAATGTGAAAAAGAGAGGAGGTGTTAGAGGTTCAAGTTCAATTCTTACCATTTGCCTGAAGGAAGAGGGAGTACTTTGGACCAAAAAGAAAAGAAAAGGCCGTGAATGACATGCTACTGAGGCACATCCTTACAAGGGCTATTAAATCTCCTATAGCTCAAACAAAATGCCCAATTTTTGTTCATATAAACAATAAAGTCCAAGCATCATTAACAAGTCAGGGCTAGCCCAATTGGCCATTGTTACTGGCAAGATTCCCCTCCCCAGTCTACTACCGGCTCTGATGCACTAAAAAACAAGAATTTAAGCATCCTTAAATCATTTAATGAAGTAAACCTAACCATCTAATGTAAGCCATCAACTATAAGATCACAACCAATAAAATCATCATGATGAAAATCCCAATATCAACAAACACATACAGAAAAAACCTTATCCAAAATCAAAAAAAACTTTGAAGTTGGATTTGAACCCAGCAACCATCTGATCTACCATATTAAACAAAAAGGGTCACTTTTGCATTGATTTGGGGTTACAACACCTAATCATAAAACCCCAAAACACAACCAACTAAATACTTTCTCCTACACTATCAGAACGCTTAACCCATTACTGAGTACAGATTAGATATCAACAAAAAGGGTTCTTTACAATTGCTTTTAGCAGGATTTACGCATACATATATATATATATATATAGAGAGAGAGAGAGAGAGAGAGAGAGGCGTGCTCACCCAGCCATGGCAGAGTGATACGATCAGAGAATCAAAAAACCATCAATTATTTCACTTCTTTTTATGGGTTTTGAATCTGGAAACCGTGTCACTGTCGTCGACGACGGCCAACCAAACAAATAAAAGGATGATAAACATAAATAAAAACAGAGACAAAGTTGACTCTGTTCAGGACCACGACCAGGTGGTGGTCTGGTCACGGTGGTAGAAGAGTTCGCACAGTGGTTGGTTATGTTGAATATGGGTCCCGACCGTGTCATCCAATGCTGATGGGCTAGCATGTTCCTGATGAGTGGCTAAGGTAGCGTTAAGTAAGCTTACTTTTTAGTTTATGTTGGGCTCGAAAATTGGCTCGAAACCGTTTTGGGTTTCTTCCTTTTTTTTTTTTTTAAATTCTTTTCCTTTCCTTGCTTTTCAATAACAGACAGAGGCGAGAGAGAGAGGAGAGAGAAGAGAAGAGAAGAGGAAGAAAAGATGGAGAGAAGGAGGAGGAAGAAAAAAAGACCAGTGATGGTGGTGATGGCGGTGATCGCCGATTGCCATTTTCAGACTCTGATTCTCTACTCTTTTTTTTTTTCTGGTAGATCTGGATCTGAAAATGAAGGGAAAAAAAAAAATTTGTTGGCTGATAATGATGATGATTATATTGATGAAGATGTTGATTTTTTTTTTTTTTTTTTGGATCTGAAGATGAATCGCTCTTTTTGTTTTGTTTTGTTTTTTTTTTTTTGGTTGAAGGATTGACTGCGGAAAATGGGGGTTCTTGGATGTTATCCATGCACCTCAAGAACAAACCCCAAATTCTGTACAGGAAATATGGACTTTTGCAACTCAATCAGGTTTTGGGTTTAAACTATTTTTGGGTTTGGACTCAAGCAGCTGCAGCATCAGTCTTAGCTTTGATTCTGTATTTTGAACCACGCTATGGCAGACGCTGCTCCTCGTTTATTTTCTTCTTCTGCAGACGCTGCTCCCTCGCCTCTGTTCTTCTTCTTCTGCTTCTTCTTCACATTCATCTTCAAAAAAACGAAAAAAAAAAAAAATTCTCCAAAACGTCGTCATTTTGGATTCGAGCCAATTTCGAGCTCGACAATTTCGAGCTACGTAGCAGTTCCGATTTTTAAAATTTTTATATATATAAACTAAAAATAATTACCAAACAGGCCATAAATATTGAGATATTCCATTCCTTTGTCACCTCACCTGCTCCAAACTTTATTACTGGGCCATCCAAAATAAATAAATAAATAAAAATTGACCCAAAAATAAAATAAAATAAATAAATTGCAAATACACGTATGAAGTTTATGACAAATTCCTCATCTAGTTCAAATACGTGTTGGAAAAAATATTTTTTTTGTGACTTTAATTTAATATTAAAATGTAGTGACTTTAATTAAATATTAAAGTGGGTCTCAACTATCTATTGTGTTGGGTCCAAATGGGCCAATAACCATTGAGATTTGAATAAGAAATTGTCAAAAAATTGTCTCATGATGTTAGATTCATAAATGAGATTTTAAAGGATATTTAAATCATTTTTCTTAACTAAGGGGTGTAAATCCTTTGGGTATCCAAACTTTTCAACTTTTTGAAAAGGGGCTATGCATGCTGGTTAATGGTGTTTTAATGACCAGCCTTAAAGGCTGGAGGCTCTTCTTCTCTCCCCTATACATGTATAAATTGAGACCCTCCTGTCAAATCTCAATATAAAAATTTTTACTTCCATTTTATAAGTCAGTTTGCCAGAAAGTTCCTACAGTGAGAGAGTGCTGTCACAGTTTTTTGTTCGCTAAGCTACACAAAAAGTACTTCTGCCGTAGCTGGTTTTTTACCGTCGTATCCTGGAAGACAGACGTCGGGATTCCACAAGCACTCGACACGTGAGGCGGCAAAATCTATTTTAAGGAAACTATTACCGTGCAAGCTTCGGTTTAATTTCTTTACCATTTTATTGTATTGTGCATTTTTGTTGTAATTTAATTGTAATTATCAGCATATATTCTTGGTATATAATTTTGATTCTTTTTTCATAAATATATTTATTTAATTTCACAATTTGGATAACAAGCTTAAAACAAATTTCTATATATTTTCTATGAAATTGATCGAATAGATTTATATAAACAATTAAATTAGCTTTGTATAATGTTGCTAGGAACTGTTGCGAAATTACTTACTGTTTCAATGATACAAAATATAAATTTGCATGTTTAGAGATTCAAGTAATTTATATGAATAGGCCATTGTTCCATATTCTATAGGTTAATTGTCGGTTCATGATTTTGCTTCTTTGCATGCACATAAAACTATTTTTATGCCTTCTTGCACTTATTCATCATTTTGAGTACATTAATATATTTGTGTTTGCTAGTGAATAGATCCATGTGCATCTTAGATATATTGTATCCTATTGCTTCTTTTATTTAAGTAGACTACTTGTTGTAGACGTCCCCGAGTGCCCTGGGAGGATGAGTCCCGTTCTGTTCAAATTGGGCTCACTACAGTTCGAACTCTCGAATTGTCACGGTTCTTAATCTGAACCAAAGAGTCCAAATCCGGCAAATCGTTTTGAGAAAAAACAGATTTTTAGAAAAGAAGTGCCAAACATGGACTGTTTTGCCAGATACAGAGTCGCCACCTAAATATTTTATTTTGAGAAATTTAGGAAACCTGACTCGGTGCCAAAGGCCACGTGTCCGTCATCACCAAAGTTGCCTTGGCTCGGGAACTTGGGTACAATTGGGGAAGGTCAGCTATGAGCACCCCCTCTCGCCCGATCAAAGATCGGCCTCTACTAACCGTGATATCTTGTTTTGAAAGTATTATGTGTTTCTATTCCGGTTATTAGCCTAGAATTACTACGTTATGCGCACAACAAACAAGTATAAACCAAATCGCCTAAATTGGAACGAAATATTGCATGTTTGTTTTGAAAATGATTTGCTACTCGCGAGTAGGCTAAAATGCAGATTTTGCCATCCTCAAGTGGGCTTTAGAAAAGATGGTTTTGCCACTATCTAGTGGGCTTAAAACTCACAGTTTTAGTGCATTATTCCAATTTAGGTAATTCAACCTCCATCCACAGGCACTCAAGCAGTTATATCACATAAGCAGCTAGCCTCATGGTAAGTATGCTGTCAAAACAAAGAACTCGTTAGCAATCAATGTATGATCCAAGTCCATGTTAAGTGCCTAATGCAACGCATACAGAATGCAATTAGGACAGGCCCGGCTAATCTTAGGATGTCATGTGAAATGCAACCATTTGATGCATATATTCAAGTTTAGATTTGAAATACTATGCAGTTAGTATGATGCGCCGAGCCCGATACATGCAATACTGATGAATGATGCACGCATGCATAGCATAAAGTATGTTAAATCAAATATGTCATAATACTAACCATCAAAGCAGGTAAGTAAAAGGGAGAAAGAAGTGGGGATTAGAAAACATGCACACCCACACCCACACTTATTACAAGTTCGCCCTCGCTCGGAGGAACCAAAAGAATAATACAATTAATTAACCTCCAAGCTAATTGATTATTACAGACAAATAAACTAGTTAAGCAAATTAACTAATCTAATAAGACAGTAAAAGTAGCCTCGGGAAGAGGGCCCAATGCATGCGCGCTCGGTTCCGCTCGGAAACCCACCACCATGCACAAGTTGCCTCTGTTTCCACTTTTTTTCCCCTCTGAAAATGGCACAATTCTCAAGGGAACACTCTCTGGACATTGTGGATTACCACCGGCTAAGATAAATCATCACCGGCCATAGCAAGATGGTCATCGACCATTTGTTAGGCTCTCGGCCATCCATATTTAGTCGGTCGGCAGTATAGATGGTCGGCCGGCCAAAGCTTCTTGCAGGATCCTGTTTCGACAGCAGTAGAGGACAAAACAGGGCATGGCAATGCATTTCAAGCAAATGTGTGCACCAACACATCCCCTATCATGTTTATGACTCAAAGGGACATGGTTCTCGATTCTCGGACCACCAATCGCGCATTTCAATGCGTGATGGCCCAAGAAACCAAGTATGCACTTTGATATCAAATGAAATGCAATGCACATAATCAAACAAAGAGGCCCAACCTCTATCACTTGATCAAGAGGCAAGGCATGCATGCCAATGCAATGCAACCTAAATGTGTGGACTAACTATGCAACATGAGCATAGGCACTAGCAATGCACGATGCATATTAGGCATGCAACCTATGCAAGCAAGCAAGCATGCAAGGTATAAGGCATCAATGTTAATCAACAAGCATACAAGATACAAGTATACAACAACACACAAGGTGAGCATACATCAACATGCAAGAGGTGGTCTTAAATTGATTTGGACAGCCTTATACTAGGCCCAAAACAGTGGCCAAATGCTAAGAGAATGATGACCAAATAACATGCAAGCATGCATGCACACCAGGACCAACATTTAGGCATTAAAGAGCAACTCTCATGCACACTTAAGAGGATGCAAACACGGACATATAGCATGCACATTAAGCATTGAAAATCATGTTAAGAATGGTGCCAAACCAAGTAAACAAGATAGACATGGCATGCAAATAAAACCCAAAATCCAAGACAAGCCAAAGGGCTTAAATCTTGATCATGTGACATATGAAGCAAATGATCAAAATGAATCAAATCAGTCCCAAATCATGTTAAGGCAAGCCCCAAAAACCACTTAGATGGCATCTAAATGATCTACACATGGAGGCATGCACAAGTGCTTAAACATGAAGTGTACAACACAATCTCTTAAAGCATCAAAGGAGCATTAAATGCAAGCATGCGAGCATGTTAAGTGGACTGAAATGACATGATAAGTGGTGCTAAACCACTAAAAATGATGCAAGTAATGCATGCTCATGGTTCATACACTTAAAGTCAACAAGCTAAAATGCAAAGGGGCTATATGAGGCATGGCAAGCATGGCTAAGACAACCTACATCAGACCTTAAGCATGGCAAAACAAGCCTAAAAGCTTCACAAAGCTTGGCCAAAACAAGCAAGCATGGTAATCTACATGCTAAGTACATGTTAAGGCAAAATGATGGCATTACAAGACATGTATGCAAGACATGCAAGGTGTGTCTAAACCAACATGGGACAGAGGTAAAACATGCTAAATAAACACCAAATAACTTCTGAAATGAAGCAAAACAAAGCTAGGCATACATGCTACTTTGGTAGGCTAACAAGGCTAGCAAAGGAAATTTACACTACAAGTGCAATAAGCATA